CAGGAAGTGAAAGTAACCAGGTGTTCATGCACAAATGAATAAACGGAATGTAGTATATACATGTAATGGAATTTTATTCAGCCTTAGAAAGAAAGGAGATTATGACACACGCTGCAATATATATGATCTTTGAGGGTCATTATGCCAAGTGAAATAAGCCAGTCATAAAAAGGCATATACTGTGTGAATTCCACATGTATATGAGGTACCTACAATAGTCAAATTCATGGAGACAGAAAGTAGAATGGTAGTTTCCAGGGGATAGGTGGGGAGATTGGGGAATTGTTTAGTGGGTACAGAGTGTTAGTTTCACAGATGAAAGGAGTTCTGAAGATGGATGGGGGTGAGGGCTGCACAACAACATGACTGTAATTAACACTACTGAACTATACACTTTAAAATGGTTAGTGGCCAGGTGTGGTGGCTCACACCTGTAATCTCAACACTTTGGGAGGCCAAACTGGAGGATGACTTGAGCCCAGGGGTTCATCGACCAGCCTGGGCAACATAGTAAGTCCCTGTCACTATAAAAAAATTTAAAAATTGGCCAGGTGTGCCTGCAGTCCCAGCTATACTCAGTAGGCAGGTACCCTTGAGCCCAGGAATTCAAAGTCACAGTGAGCTATGATTGCCATCCTGGGAGATAAAAAGAAATCCTGTCTCAAAAAAAAATGGTTAAGATAGTCAATTTTATGTTATATATTTTATCACAATTAAAAACTTATGTTTAGCATGACCGCAGGTGGCAAGTACTCAGAAAGAAACTACGTAGTATGAGAGAGTGCTCAATGCAGGATGGCTTTAGATGGCGTGGTCAGAGTTCTCACTAAGGAACAGGTATTTGACCCGAGTCCTGGAGAGCAAGGCAGCTGCATGAAGACGAGGCAGGCCCTTTTCTGTCTGAGGGATTTGAGGGCAAAGACTCCCAGAGCCTCGGGCCTGGAGCGAGGGAAGGACCAGAAGTGACAGAAGACGAGGTTGACAAGACAATCACCGTATCATCTAGCAATTCCACACTTACATAGATGTCCCGAAGAATGGCGAAGGGACAGTCAAGGGCAAACGTGTGTGTGTTCACAGAAGCATTACTCACAGTAGCCAAAAAGTGCAATCGGGCCACGCTGCCGTCGGGTGAGTGAACGGGCAGAGCGTGGTCTGTCCACAGGGGGGCGCACCATTCAGCGTGGCCGGGGCCAAGCACTGACCGGGCTGCAGCGAGGACCGACCAGGCAGGAGTCCGTTTCTATGAAACGTCCGGAGTAGGCAACGCCATGGGGGCTGGAGAGTGGGGAAGGGGAGCAGAAAACAGCTGTGTGGGGGGTTCAGGTTCCTCGTGGGAAGACGAGAATGTTTGGGAACCAGGTGGTGGTGGTGTTTGCACGACTCACAGTGAAATGCCGCTGAACTGTCCGCCTCGGCTTGGTTCAGTTCCACCACGTGAATTTCACCTCGGTAACGTAGCGTAATGTTTGCCGCAGACGCCGTGTTCTTTCTGCGTTCTAAGAAGCAGGCGATCGTCTTTCCCCTCAATACCCCTACCCCATAAAGACTACAGACATCGGATTTTCTAGCACCATCTTCCAATCTGAGCCACCTTCCGCGTGCGAGTGGAGAAGGTGGCGCGGCAGGGCCGTGGGCCGTGCGCCTGGGCTCGCGTCCCAGCCCCGCCACGTGCTAGTCCTGGGCACGGAGGAAGCCGCCCCAGCGACCAAGAGAAATGGGAGTGTGTGTTCTTCCCCTCCTCTTTCTCCTGGGTGCAGGGACTCGCCCTCAGAGAGTCGAGTGCCTTCCCACAAGGCTGTGTTATATAGGGGCAACCGGCACCTCCAGGATCCTTTGGATCCGCAAGCCAGGTCCAGGGGAGGCAGTGACAAAAACAGTCCCACGGAAAGTGTGATCCAGCGAAGGATTTAGACACGCTTCAATGTACATGGAGACCAGGGCCATGAAGGGAAGTGCAGGGTGTGATGTGGGGACATAGAGCAGCAAGCCTGGTGTGGTCCGGAGGTTTTAGGAACGGCTCCTTGGAAGACCGGGCATTTTAAGTGGAGACTTGGATCTCTGAGGGTTTAACCGTCTAGGAATAAAGACCTGGGGTGAGTTTGCCCTTTGGTTTCCTGCCCTGGGACAGTGCGTCTGGAACGACGTTGCGAGAGAGGAGTCGAGAGGCAGGCAGGGGCTGCTGGCGCGTGTGGCAGGCCGAGCAGAGCCCACGGCGTGGTGGGAGCTGCCGGCACCATGACGCCAGCAGCGCAGAGCACGTGGTCGGTTGCTGGGAGCCGACTCTGGCTCCCTGGTGGAGGGTGACCTGCAGGATTCGGTGCTGCCCGAGCTGAGGACAGTGGAGGGGCAGGGTGGCGGGCAGGACTAGGCGGTGGGTGTGGTGGTCCAGCAGGCAGAGAGCATCAGCAGACCGCACACAGGTGCCCGATATGAGCAGGTGGAGGACGGAGGTGCCAGTCGCTGAAATGGAACACGCGGGAGAGGCAGATGTTAAGCTTTATATGGCTCAAAAGTGAGTTTTGAAAAGTGTGATGTCTACTCATCCAGGAAAAGGTGTTTTGTTTATTTTGTGTTTCGGGTTTTTTTTGTTTTGGAGACAGAGTCTTGCTTTGTTGCCCAGGCTAGAGTGAGTGCCGTGGCGTCAGCCTAGCTCACAGAAACCTCAAACTCCTGGGCTCAAGCGATCCTCCTGCCTCAGCCTCCTGAGTAGCTGGGACTACAGGCATGCGCCACCATGCCTGGCTAATTTTTTATATATATATTAGTTGGCCAATTAATTTTTTTCTATTTATAATAGAGACAGGGGTCTCACTCTTGCTCAGGCTGGTTTCGAGCTCCTGACCTCGAGCAATCCGCTCACCTCGGCCTCCCAGAGTGCTACCAAGAAGAGGTTTGTAAGTGGCTAAGATATAACTCCTCATGTATACAGCTCTGCTCAGGGGTCCAAGCTAGAGATACGATTTTTGGCGCCATCAGCATAAGGGGACAGACTTCTAAAGCCATTGGTCTCGATCCCTAGGAAGCAGGGATTATTGGCGAGATTGACTGAAGCCCCCCAGAAGTTCAGAGTTGAGGGGTCACGTAAGACAGTGGTCAGCTCTGGACCTGCACTGGCCGGCTGGGGTCGTGTCTTACTTTCTTATTCGGTGTCTCCACTTTACCATCTGTGCTATGGGGCACGGCTCCCAGGGAGGTCACGAGAACTTGACAGGCTGACACGTGGAGGCGGGGCCAGGAACACACTAACTGCTACAGGGCTGCCTCTGGTCATCGGAAGATGAGAAGGAGAAGCTAGCGGCAGGATGGGGAGCAGCAGCAGGGCTCAAGGGAGAGAGCCGGTGGGGCGCAGCATCACACGCTAAGAGAAGATGGAGCCGCTGTGGCTGCTGCCGAGAGGTGGCTCGAGATGAGGGGCTGACGGTGGTCCTCGGGGCCCAGTGCCCTTGCAGTCCTAGCAGGGTGGTGAGGAGCAGAAGTCAGGCTGGGGCGGAGTGAAGACTGAAATGTCGGGTGTGAGCTGTTTGAGAAAAGTTTTGCACAGGAGGAGAGAGAAGGGACTGGGCGGGGCTGGAGGGTGTTGGAGGCGCAAGTCAAGAGGCTTTTGTTGAGACGGTGTCAGAACACGCCGGGGCTGAGGGGCAAGGTCCGCTGGCGGGGGCTGCCCTGTTGAACAGCACTGGGCTGGTGGGGTTCGCAGGAAGTGGATCAGGACTGTCCTTTAAGAATAGGGGTTTCCTTTTTGAGAAAACGATGGTTCCTCCACTGGTTTCTGCGTTAAAGGGTAGACAAAGTATCTGCCATTTTGTGCCTCATGTTCATAGTTAAAATACAAGTTAAGGGTGCCGTCTAGAGCGAGGAAGTGTAGTTATAACCGGGGGGATTGCTATAAAACGCTGTTAGGAAGACAGGAGGCGGCAGCATTGGCAGCCTGTTTGAGGTTGCTCGAGGGACGTTCATGTCGATAGCAGTTTTCTTGGTCGTGACTGCTGTGTCCAGCGCGGTCAGCTTGCGGCGGCCGGGTTCATCCAGGGTTCAAGTGTTGGCACGTGGTGTAGCCAAGAAGGACCCCAGCGTGGTTTCGGGGGACCCTGGGGTCCGAGAGGGGCAGGAGGGTGGGAAAGGCGAGGGTGGGAAGGGGAGACACACTGGGCAACGTGGCTCGATGGAGTTGAGATGGCGACACGGCACAGGACCGTCACAGCGACCAGCGGAGCGGAGAAGGCAGGGCGCTGTGCCGGAGGGGCGCGTTTGGAACAGCGGCTTCTGAGGCCGCGTGGCCAGGAGGAAGGGCCAGGCGGTGACCCCAGACTTGGAGGTCGAAGTAGGGCAGAAGCAGCCCTGGGTTTTCTGACTGGCATTCCCTGGGCGTGTGTCCCCATCTGTAAAATGAGCATGATCCTGTGTGTCCCCTTCAGCACCGCTCCCTTCTGCTCTTCTAGAATGTGAGCTTGGCGAGGGTGGGGCTTGGCCTCGCCTGTCGCTGCACAGCAAGCCTCCCTCAACGTTGCCATAGGCTCTGGGGAACTGCGGTTTTACGCAAAACCATGCATCACAGCCAATTTTTTTTTCCTCATGACAAAACAACTCTAAGGAAACACTACTGGAGAATCTGCTATATGTTGTTTTGCTTAAATTCACAGTTCCCAAGAACATGTCAACTGTGTTAAGTTAGGACCCACTGTACCTCCAAACCCCGTCTCAGGACCCGGAATGAAGGCGACTCTCGAGAAGGAATTCGCGGCGGACTGGGTGACCTCGCACGCCTGCTGAGGTGGTTGTGGGGAGCAGGTGCCCAGCGAGGCTCGATGGGTGCCTGGCGCACCTGAGAGTGCCTTTGCACGCGGGGATTCGCTCTTATTCTGTTGGGAATGTGCTGCTTCCCCGTAACAGTACAAGAAAAGGTTTTAGATCCTTGACGGGGGTCTCCAGGAACATAGCGGAAGGGAGAGGAGTCCAAAGCAAAGCCATGGAGTAACGTCATCTTCTTCCCTCCCCAGGCTGTGCAAGACCCAGTACCCTGTGCAGGTGCAAAAGCTGCTGGAGGAGCTGCAGCTGCTCAAGCCCCGACTCCTGATTAGTAGCCATTGGTACGATTTTGACAGAGAGACCCGGTATTGGTGGAAATACTGAAGACACGAAACCCTCCCCCCCCTTCTGATGGAGGAACCGTAAAAGCTGCCTTCTCAGGGCAAGCTCCGGGAGTTCCTTCTCCGAGACGGAAATGAGTCCTGATTCTCTCAGAGCCCCAACGGCAGTGATGACACTGTGTCCAGCGTAGCTTGGTCACCGCATTTGATGGCTGGAGTGACCCTCAAGACACAGACCTCAGTCTCTGTGACATGTCCGTCCTGCCTCGGAGCATGGAGAATCAGACCAAATAAACACTGAGCACATCTGGAAAAGGGTCAAGTGGTCTTCCTGGCTAGTGGGGTGCAACTGACGATCAAAGAGGTTGGGAGGGCCCCAGGTTTGGAGAGCACTCCTGCTGGTGTCAAAGCACACACCTAAAGTATCAAAGGGATGGTGTGACTGTCACTCAGTGTCTCAACTACAAGCACACAAAGCTGAATTCATTGTTTAGTGTAATAAAGGGCTGGTTGTTTTGGGAAAATCCCAGGACAGTGCAGGAAAACCACCCCAAACCGAGAGGGAGTGGAGAGACCAAAGAATGACCCGGCAAGTCCAGCTGGACGAGTTAGATGAGGTTGTCTAGAGGTCACCTATAAGGGCACCCGCTCCTGGGGGTCACAGGAATTGCTTCCACAGGCGCTTGCTTTGTGCGGGATCCGCCTCTGCCCACCCGGTGGCGCTGCCCTGACTCCCTTCCCAGTGAACGGCTCAGGGCTTTACGTTGTGTCCTTGCTTGCTCACAGGGAAACAAATGGCACGCACCTAAGAGCACTGCTGCCCTGCACCTCCCCCCACGCAACCAAGTCACGGCAAGACGTCGGCTTTCCCCTAGGTGGGGGTTTCAGTGTTCCAGCGCAGCAAAGGGCGGCCACGGCAGTTTTAAAGCAGTCAGAGCTGGTCTGAGCCGGCCACTGCAAGACAAACTCCTGGGCACCCCCCTCCCCACCCCCACCCCCGGAGCTGTCTTGGCACCTGCCTCGTCTACTCTGTGACAACGCTGCTGGGCGCTCCGGCCGGCACAGCGTCTCCCCTCACTGGTCCAGCACAGTCTGAGCAGAACGCACTTCTGATCTCCGCAGGCAGGGATGTGGGGGAGTGGGCGGGTCAGGGACTGAATCAGGCGTAGGTGAACCTGCAGTTACTCGGGTGAGGCTGATCGGCACTCGCAGTGTCTGCACTGCTCATATTCTCAAATCGGGCTTGGGGTATAACTTATGGTAAAAATATCCTCTTGTTGGTGCACAGGTCTGGGTGCTGACAACACTTGGGTAGACATCACAAAAAGGCACAAAACAGTTCACCTTCTCCCCAAAATCCCCTCATCCGGTTTGTAGTCAACTCCTCCCCTGTCTCTCACCCCTTGGCAGCCGCTGGTCTGGGGGAAGCCGCTCTTAAGGAGTGACGCTCAGGCCGAGACCCCGACCGCAATGAGGAGGAGCGGCGGGCGGAGCGGCGGGCGGAGGCGCAGGCGCAGCCCGTGCGGACAGGCGCTCTGGCCGCTCTGAGCGCCGCTCAAAGCCAGGCGGAGTCCGGCGAGGGAGCGGCACGCAGGACGGTCAGGGGCGTCGGGCGGTGCGGAGGGTACAGAGAGAATTGAGAATTGAGAGATACCGGCAGTCATCCAAGCCCCCCAGAACTAGAGCAGTGTGCCCCACGTGGCGGTGGAGGGAGGGAGGGAGGGACGGACAGAGGGTGGCTGTCCCCGCAGGTCCCGCGGTCCTGCCCGCAGGCGGAATCCGGTTGCGCCCTGAGTTGTTTCCAAGGCCGCAGAGCCCGGCTGGGCACGGTGAGAGTGGAGCCCTCGCCCGGGCTGGCGTTCTCAGCGCTTAAGTCTCTTCCCGCCTGTCCGTAGGGGCCGAGTGGGTGTCGCAAGGGGACCAGAAGCCCGCTTGCCCAGCCGCCTCTGCATCCCCAACCCCCGGGAGCAGGAATCCTCCCCCGCAGCCAAGACCGACTGCTGAACGGCAACTGGGGTTCTGGGGAACCTCCCAGGCGCTGGTGTCTGCACCCGGACGGCTCTGCTTACGCCGGGTCGTTCATTCCCCAGGGACACGTTTATATCTTTACGTGTGTGCCTTGGGGGGTAGGAGCGGCAGGAAGACAAGGGGACCTGGTCCTGGAGGGTGACCCTGGCGAGTTCAAGAGCACGGCCCTGGCCTGGCACACCCCGCGTGGGGAGCGGGGGTGCACCTGTCTGCCCCTGCCGTCCTCCACAGCAGTTCCCTCCCCTCCTCCCACAAGGAATGGTGCCGAATCCACCTGCCCTGCCCTTCCCGCAAGGTGCTGTGTGGGAGGCCATGTCGGTTCCGGTGCTCTCAGCTGCCTGTGACAGAGCGCCCTACTTGGACAGGCAGTTCCAGGGTCACTTGCCACTGGGAGAGGGAGAGCTGGAGATTGGCACCTAGTCTGTCCTGGACTCTGCCTGAGCATCCTTTCCAGTGGCAGATATTAGTCTGTGTCCTTTTGCTGCAATAAAACATCACTGTGAGGACTGCAGCTTTGCTGAGCTGTGAGTCCTGATGAATCGCTGAGCCGGAGGGTGGCCCTGGGGAGCCCGTACACAGCAGGCGTCAGCGCGTGTCTGCTCAGAGGGCGCCGCAGGCTCCTCCAGGCCCTCTGCACGGGCTTTCCCGGAGCCGCATCACTGCCCTTCAGGTCTGACTCTTGACCCTGCTCCCACAGGCTCGGCGATTTGCCCAGACGCACGCAGCCTGGGACTGGAGCCCTGTCTGTCTGTCTGTCTGACCCTGAGTGCCTTCTTGTGTCTTTCCCTTGACTCTGGGGAGAAATTTCAGCCCCGCAACCACTTCTTGGGAGACGACTCCACTTTTCAACCCATCGTTGCTCGTGGAGCTGCTGCCGGCCCCAGCCACTCCCTCCCCACTGCCTGCCACGGGGCACCACGTCTGCCCACCCGTGACCGACCACACCTGGCCCCAGCCACCGCTCCCCACCGCCCACCTCGGGGCGCCACCTCTGCCCACTCGTGACCAACCACACCTGGCCCCCAGCCACTCCTCCCCACCGCCCGCCGCGGGGCGCCACGTCTGCCCACCCGTGACCAACCACACCTGGCCCCCAGCCACTCCTCCCCACCGCCCACCTCGGGGCGCCACCTCTGCCCACTCGTGACCAACCACACCTGGCCCCCAGCCACTCCTCCCCACCGCCCGCCTCGGGGCGCCACGTCTGCCCACCCATGACCGACCACACCTGGCCCCCAGCCACTCCTCCCCACCGCCCGCCACGGGGTGCCACGTCTGCCCACCCGTGACCGACCACACCTGCTCTCTCTCAGTGGTGCTCGCTGGTGGGGCATCAGGACTCTGCAGCCAGGCTCAGGGACACCGTCGCTGTGTGTGTGCTTCAGCCCAAGGGGAAACTGGCCGCCAGGGACAGGCTCCCCCTTCCCCTTCCCAGGTGGGCTGGGTGGGAGTCGAGGCCTGTTTGAGGGGAGCTTTGCATAGGCCCAGCCCGTGACACCTCGCCTGGCTCAGTTCTCACCGAGCATGCCCTGTGGGAGTGCTCTGAGCACCCCATGCATCCTGCCTTGGTCCTGGGGCTCCCTGCACCCGGCCTGCCGTCACCCCGCCTGCAAGTCTCCCTGCTCAGGAGGCAACGCCTGCCCCCCAGGTGGCGTCCGACCCTCCCTCCCCACTGCCAGCCCCTATCTCCCAGGAGCTCCCCACTCCCTGGAGGCCTGACCACACGGGGCTGTGACGGCCTGGAGCTCCGTGGGCAGGACCCGGGCCTGACTCCTGTCTGCACCCCCTGCCTGGGGCCTGGCACGTGGGGGCTCTGGGGACGTTTGCAGCCACACGAGTGAACACTGGACCCTCCTTCTCCACCTGGGGACCCTCTTCGTCCTTCCAGACCCAAGCTTCTTCCTGTGCCTGGGGATTCTGGTTGCCTTTGGCAACGTAGGGGGGTTAAGAAAGAGGGGTCCCCTCTGCTCTAGGCTTCTGTTCTGATCAGGTGTGCAAATGAGAGGTCCGACTTCAACCAATCTTGCCTATAAAAACACATTCTAAATTACCAATGCATTTGAATCAAGAAATTTCACACTGAAATCAGGATCTCTGGATCCTTCTGAAAAATGAAAAAAAATTAGAGGAGCTGGCAGTAGCGGCCCTGTGTTGCCAATGCCCCAGCAGGGCGGGGAGGGGGTGGGAGGGGAGTTCCCGGTGTTGGCCGCCCCCTTCAGGAGGGGCCCACCAGGCCAGCCGGCTCACACTGCTCCCTGCTGGCCTCCGTGGGCTTGGCGCTTGCAGCCTCACACCAGAGTCTCACAGGTCGGGAGAAAGTGTCCGGGCCCAGGGCAGCCGCCGCAGGGCCAGCGGTCGGGGACGCAGGAGTCCCAAGCAGCTTGCAGTTTTGCTGTGTGGCCTGAGGCGTGGTGAGCCTCAGTTTGCCCGTTTGCACAGTGTGCAGTGTGTGGAGTGCAGGGCCTCGTGATCCCCAATGTCCTGCAGAAGTGCCCCTGGGGTCCTTTAGTGTCTCAGCCACTTCCCGCCTACTCCCACTGCCTCTCCCCGCGAAGGCAGGGTCAGGCTGGCCTCGGTCCGTGGTCACTTGGGGCTCACAGTGGCCGTGCGGCAGCAAAGGTGGCAGCCTGTGTCCTGGCACTGCCTCCTTGGCGCGTCCTGGCGTGTGTCGTCTCTGCTCCGCGTGTCGCCTGCCTGCTGCAGTGGCCCGCCCTTGGGGGCAGGTGCCAGGCGTGTCCCTGCGTGGGCTAACGTGAGGCCTGGCACCCGGAGGCCCGGGGTGCTCACCGAGTGGCCGGGCAGGAGCCGGGCTGCAGGCCTCCAGGTCTGGTGTCTAGGGCGAGGCGTCACAGGTGCTCTGCAGGCTGCGCAGCCCCAGCCGGGCTGGAGCCCGAAAGTGGGTCGTGACCCGCCTCGGAGTCCGCAAGTCTACACTCTTCTGTCTCAGGAGCCCCGGACTGCGGAGAACCAGAGCTGCTGTCCCTCGGCCCGGCGAGCCCCCCCTCTCTGGGCACCCCCATGTGGAGGGGCCAGCCCGCCCCTTTAAGCCTCTGTTATGGGCCGAACTGTGTCCCTGACTCCCCAAATTCCTATGTTGATGTCCTGGCCCCTGGTGCCTCAGACATGACTACATTTGCAGATGGG